GTCGGCGTGGGAGCCGACCATCACACCTGGGGGGGGATTCTGGATCAGGGGATCGCGGTGCCCCTCCACCCGGAGTCCTCTCCACTCCAACCTGTGCTGCCCCCTCAGAGGCAGCGCACCTCCCACCCAGGGCCCCCCGCCGCGTCGGCCCCAGGAAGCAAGACTTCCGGTGCTCAACTTCCGGCAGAGTGGGACCAGGGGGTCCCCAGCCTTAGGTCAGCCACATCCGGAGGCTGGGCCTGGCCTGCAGGGCTGTGCTCAGTGTCCTTAGAGGCCAGGGTCTCCCCAGCACCCTGGCTTCAGACCCTTGGTCCCTCTCCCTGAAAGGACTCCTTTCCCACCCCCACCCCCAACAGGACCCTCAACACCTCTGCTGCAGCTGAAGCCCCTGTGCGCTCCCCGGTCCACCACCGCCCACCCGCTCAGCACACGCCCTGGTGGTGCCCGGCCACAAATTCCCTCAACCCCACGAGCTCTCCCATCCACTGCCCTGCAGGCTCTGTGCCTCCGCCCCCACCCGAGGCCTCCCTGCCCCTTTCCCAGCATAAGGGCTGCGGGCTCCTGGCAATCATGCCCTTGGACTGCTGGGCTCCTCCCCACCCGCTGGGACTGCTAGTCTGCATCCCTCAGGTCCATTCGCCCCCCGGCTGACACCTGCACGTTTCTCTCCCCCTCAAACCTCTCCGTTCCCCTCCTGTTCTCACCAGGGGACCCCGCCATGGCCTCGGCATTGGGAAAAGGAAAGCAATTGGGAGACGTTCCCACACTCCAACCACGGCACCGAGGGTTCCTCATGGGGCGACTGAGACCCCCTCCACGGGCCTGGCCCAGGGGACATGGGCAGTGCCTGGAGACGGGTCTGGTTGTGAGGGTGTTGACCGGAGGGACAGGCACTCCCGGCAGCTAGAGGGGGAGCCCAGGGATGCTGCAGTGCACCCCACAGCGGCCGGGCCCGGGCGCCACGGCAGAGTGCTGGGGTCCAATGCCAGAGGGGCTGAGGCTGGGAAACCCGCACTATCTGCTCCCCCCACTTGCCTCTGGGCCCAGTGACCCTGAATCCCCACCTATAGCAACGTTCCTCATGGCCTGGGCCCTCCCATCAGTGTCACCACGGCTGTCCCTCATCTTTTTCAAAAATAGATATTTGTACTGATTTCAGAGAGGAAGGAGAGGGAGAGA